TCTGTCTGTGTCTCTGTCTCTCTCTGGGAGTGTGTATGTATGTCTCTGTGTGTCTCTCTGTCTCTGTGTCTCTCTGTCTCTGTCTGTGTCTCTCTCTGGGAGTGTGTATGTATGTATGTCTCTGTGTGTCTCTGTCTCTGTGTGTGTCGCTGTCTCTCTGGGAGTGTGTATGTATGTCTCTGTGTGTCTCTCTGTCTCTGTGTGTCTCTCTGTCTCTGTGTGTCTCTCTGTCTCTGTGTGTGTCTCTGTCTCTCTCTGGGAGTGTGTATGTATGTATGTCTCTGTGTGTCTCTCTGTCTCTGTGTGTCTCTGTCTCTGTGTCTCTGTCTCTCTGGGAGTGTGTATGTATGTATGTCTCTGTGTGTCTCTCTGTCTCTGTGTGTGTCTCTGTCTCTCTGGGTGTATATGTATGTCTCTGTGTGTCTCTCTGCCTCTGTGTGTCTCTCTGTCTCTGTGTGTGTCTGTGTCTCTCTCTGGGAGTGTGTATGTATGTATGTCTCTGTGTGTCTCTTTGTCTCTGTGTGTGTCTCTGTCTCTCTCTGGGAGTGTGTATGTATGTATGTCTCTGTGTGTCTCTCTGTCTCTCTGTGTCTCTCTGTCTCTCTGTCTCTGTGTCTCTCTGTGTCTCTCTGTGTCTCTGTCTCTCTCTGGGAGTGTGTATGTATTTCAAATCCTGATCATTAAAGCCATCTGGGGAGTAGAGAGTGAAAGGACTCTCTCCTCTCTCTCAGATAAACAAATTAAAGAATAATGCCTGTGCTGGGCCCGGCGCGGTGGCGCAAGTGGTTAAAGGTCCTCACCTTGCACGCCCGGGATCCCATATGGGCGCCGGTTCTAATCCCGGCAGCCCCGCTTCCCTTCCAGCTCCCTGCTTGTGGCCTGGGAAAGCAGTCGAGGATGGCCCAAAGCTTTGGGACCCTGCACCCGCGTGGGAGACCCGGAAGAGGCTCCTGGCTTCGGATCGGCATAGTATCGGCCCGTTGCGCTCACTTGGGGAGTGAATCATCGGATGGAAGATCTTCCTCTCTGTCTCTCCTCTCTGTATATCTGCCTTTCCAATAAAAAAATAATAAAAATAAATCTTTAAAAAAAAAGAATAATGCCTGTGCCGTACATCAGTGTAGCTGGGTTCCGCCCCTCGTGCCAGCTTCTGGGGGCAGCAGTGATGGCTCAGATAACAGGGTTGCTGCCACTCCCCTGGGAGTAGCTTCAGTGTCAGCCCAGCCCGGCCCAGCTCAACCATTTCTGACACTTACAGAGTGAGTCAGCAGGTGGGAGCTCTCCATCGCTATGGCCCTCTGCCTCTCAAGCGAGCAGATTTTTTAAAACTTTATCTCACCCACTTTCACCCTGTAGCCCGTGACCCTTTGTACCCTAATAAACTAAGATTATTTTAAAAAAAAAAAGAGTTAACAGTTAAACTGAAAAAAAAAACTTTATCTCTATTTTTTTTATTCGAAAGACAGAAATCTTGCACCTGTTGGATTATTCCCTAGATATCTGCCACAGGCAGGAACAGGTGAAGCTGGTAGCCTAGAATTCCAGCTGAGCTGCCCACAGGGGTGGTAGGGACTCAGAGAGATGGGCAAACAGGACTCAAGGGAGTACTGTAAGAGGGGTGCCAGGGACCCAATTGACACCTCTACGGCTGAGCCAAACACCTGCCCTGCTGCATCCCAAATGCACACAAAAATTAGAAAATAGATAAGTCTGCTCCACCACAGGTAGAGTTAAGAGGGTGGAGGGAAACCAGGGGGGAGGAATACAGACACAGATACAAAGAAACTACAGCCAGAAGATTTTTGGAGATGTCCAGCAACATGGCCAGGATATGAATGCTCCCACCAAGAGCAAATCCACATGGCCAGTGCCCAGGCAGGAGAATCTGAACTCAGACCCTGCAACCTGTCTGAGACCACATGCTCTCCAGAAAAAGCAACACTAAGAGGCCCAGGGAGAGAGCTCATGTCCAGCACAGATGGGAGGACAGGGAGCAGGCTGGCATTGCCCAGCACAACTGCAGGCAGGGGCACCACATGCTGTGAGGTGCAACCCCATCCACCATCTCCTAAAAGCCAGCTGCCCACCCCCAGCACAGCGGATCAGCCACAGCTTCCTCTGACGTAGCTGGTCTCTCACACAGCCAGGTCACACAGGGTCCCCATGTCCAGCGTTTTCCAGGGCTGTGGGGCTGTTAGCAACTCCATTCCCTGCCTGCTTTCTCAGACACATTAGCAGGGAACTGGATCAGAACTGGAGCAGCAGGTCCAGCACCGTGGCCTAGCGGCTAAAGTCCTTGCCTTGAATGCACCGGGATCCCATATGGACATTGGTTCTAATCCTGGTAGCTCCACTTCCCATCCAGCTCCCTGCCTGTGGCCTGGGAAAGCAGTCGAGGATGGCCCAAAGCCTTGGGACCCTGCACCCGTGTAGGAGACCTGGAGGAGATTCCTGGCTCCTGGCTTCGGATCAGTGTAGCTCTAGCCATTGTGGTCACTTGGGGAGTGAATCATCAGACGGAAGATCCTCCTCTCTGTCTCTCCTCCTCTCTGTACATCTGACTTTGCAATAAAAATAAATAAATCTTTAAAAACAAACAAAGAAGTGGAGCAGCTGGACTCAAACTAGTGCCCAGATGGGTTGCCAGTCACAGGTGGCATCTTTGCATGGGGATCACCATGCCAGCCCCAAGCTCAGCCTCTTGGGAATCATTTTACATCCCACCTGCAGTGGACAGGTGCCCGTTCCTTTGCCCCTTGCCAACACCTTTATTGTCTCTTTTTAGGCAGCAGCATCTCAGTATTCTGAAACAGTATTCCTCTGTGTGTTTTCTAAAAATACCAATTGATTGATTTATTTGACAGAGGGACAGGCAGACTGAGGCTTCTCGCCTGCTGTTTCACTCCTGAAAGGCTCGCCTCAGCCAGGGCTGGGCTAAGCCCAAATCAGGGATTGGGACGACAGGAACCCCGACCCTGAAGACATCCCCATAGTCCCCCAGGGTCTGCAATGACGAGAAGTGAAGTCAGACCCAGCTGTCTGGGCTGGGAAATCGGGGTCAGTGACAGAATGAGCCTCTCCTTCCCCGATCACGCTGAGAACATCAGGGCCTGTTGGACACTTTGCATCTTCTTCAGACTGTGATCTATTTCCAATTTGTCCAGTTTTTTTGCTGTCTCCTTTATGTTTTTGGACAGTTCTTTATCATAGATATGATTCACAAATATTTTCTTTCTGTGAAATATAATCCAATGAAAAAATGAAAAGATTAGCTTTAGGTGGAATGCCAGGGGCCTGGTGGCAGGAGGCCGAGTTGTGAAGCAGCAAATGGGAGGCCACTTGGCATGGGGCATCCCAGACAAGGCTGGAACCAAACCCCAGGTCTGATCCTGGTTCCTGCATCCCGTTTATGCTTAGGCAGTAGCACACGCCTGCTCCTCACAGTGGAACGCCTGCGCATGTACCAGCTGCTTTGCTTGCAACTCGGCTCCCCGCTGATATCTTTGCGAAGCCAGCAGACAATGTCCCAAACACATGGGTACCTGCCACCCATGAGGGAGACCCAGATGGAGTTTCTGGCTTCTGGATTTGATCTGACCAGCACAGCAATGTGTAGCTTACCCGGATAGCAAACTAGCAGATACAAGATATCTCCCTCTCTCTCCCTTTCCCTCTTTCTCTATTCTGCTCTCCCTCTTTCACTCTGTTTCTTTCTATATCTCAGATAGATACACATTTTATCAAAAAGTGTTAATTTTAAAATAAGTGAATCCTCTGGAAAAATATTTCACTGAAAAGGATACATGCAGAGCTAAGAAGCAAAGGCAAGCACACTCCTCACCACCAGCCAACGGAGAGGTGCAGACTGAAGTCACACTGACCCGCTGAGCGCACGCCTATTAGGATAGCCTCTGGAATGGGCCTTCCTGCTGATGCACAAAGCCACGGTGGAGCACGCTAGGCAGATTTTGGAATATGAGTTAGCCTCCCTGCAATTCCACCCTCCACTCACGTGAGCTCACAGGGATCTTGGAGTGAGCACTCGCAGCTTTTCTGGTCAGCTGGCAGTGAGCATGCACAGCAGCTGCACGTGAGCTCACAGGGACCTCTGGGAGAATCCGCACAGCTTTTCTGGTCCCTGTGCAGCTGCAACCAAAACAACTGTCCATGAGCCCTTGAATGGACCGGTTCCAACCAACACAGTGCAAGATCCCAGGTATCCCTGCCTTCCTCCCTGGGAGCAAAGTCCAGGTAAATGCAAGCAGTCTACACGTCACAACGCCATAATGTTTGTCTAAAGGTGCCTTAGAGGCAGAGGCAGGAAACACAGCAAGACAGATCTTCAATCAAGAGGCTCACTCCAAGATGGCCCCAAGAGGGCACTTAACGTTGGGCTTGCTTCGGGGCCTCCTATGTGATGGCATTTGTGGCAGTACCTGCTGCTTCCCCAGGAACTTCAGTAGGGAGCCAGAACCCAACTCTAGCAGACAAGACTCAGCCTTCCAGGTTCCTGGTTTGATCCTGGTCGAGCTGAGGTGACTGCAGGCTTCTGACATATTATTCCCAAATAGGAAAATGATCTCTAAGAAATTAAAGAAACAATGCCCGGCGTTACGATGACTGATACCAGGGAAGAGTGTGATCCCCATGAGGTGAAAACAAGCATTTGGTCACAGCCTCCCTCATCAGGGCAAAGAAAACCATATTCGCCCCTGCCCTGGCATGGCAACCAAAATCTTAGAGGAATCTCAGGGTCAGAGAGACTAATGGGGAAGACTCTGACGGCGCCTGTGCTGGGTTGGCCCCCTTCTCTGGTTCCCCATGCTGGGATTCCAGAAGGAGAGGCCATGCTGACCACAGGGGTGGGACAGCCCTGGGATGGCCCGGCCCCTATCTCTGCTGGACTCTGGTGAGCTGCGGCCAACGCCCCTTCAGGCCCCACCAGACTGACGGCCCCTCACCCGCCCCCTTCCACCAGACCCTGCCTGTCCACTGCCACAGCAGCCGATAACAGACCCCACCCTGCAGCCCCTTCCCCTCCTCCCGGGAATGGCCCGGCCTGCCTAGCTTCTGCCTCGGATACATAAGGGGACCCCACAGGCTGAGCAGCACCAAGGCCACGCTGAGCAGCCAGCAACACAACCAGCACCATGTCTCTGACCAAGAGTGAGAGGACCATCATCATGTCCCTATGGGACAAGGTCTCCTCGCAGACCGAGGCCATCGGCACTGAGGCTCTGGAGAGGTGAGTGTGGCCTGGGACAGCCCAGCACCCGGCCAGGGGCTGGGAAAGTGGCCCGGGACAGCACAGTGCCTCCCAGGCCTGGGCTGCTGCACGTGGGGCTGCCCAGCCCCAGTGTAAGGGACAAGGAGCTGGAGGAGGCCCAGGTCGAGCAGGGAGGCTGGGCCCGCCACCCCTGTCCTGCCCTGTCTCCTTGAAATCCCACCGGGGCTCCCTGTGGATTCCCTCTCACCTCAGTGTCCACACAGCTTGTTGCAAGCAAGCGTCCTTGACCCTGAGGGCGGGGCCTGGGGGCTCCTGCGCTCAGCTCAGGCTCACGCCCCTGCTCCCCACCCTCCAACCTCGCCCCCCATGCCACCGGCCTGCAGGCTCTTCAGCAGCTACCCTCAGACCAAGACCTACTTCCCGCACTTCGACTTGCACCCGGGCTCAGCGCAGCTGCGCGCCCATGGCGCCAAGGTGGCGGCCGCCGTGGGCGAAGCGGTCAGGAACGTGGACAACCTGCCCAGCGCCCTGTCCAAGCTGAGCGAACTGCACGCCTACGTCCTGCGCGTGGACCCAGTCAACTTCAAGGTGCGCGCGGGGCTGCGCGGGGCGGGGCGGGGAGCACGTGCAGGCAAGGCTGGCCTGGCCCCTCATTGTTCCCGCTCCTCCCCCACAGCTCCTGTCCCACTGCCTGCTCATCAGCCTGGCCGTGCGCCTGCCCGCGGACTTCACCGCCGAGACCCACGCCGCCTGGGACAAGTTCCTGTGCCAGGTGTCCGCCGTGTTGACCGAGAAGTACCGCTGAGTGCTGCAGGCCCCAGGACAGCCCGTGGCCCCTTCTCTGCCCCTGAAGCCCAGGCCCTCGCTGGGCGCCCCAATAAACGGATCAGGAAGGAGGAGCTGGCTCCTGAGTTCTTTGTGCTGAGGGAAGGGGGTGGTGAGGGAGGCAGATGTGGTGTTCCCCTTGTCCTTTGGCATGCAAAGATGTTCGGATTTGGTTCCTTGGATTTCAAAGATGACATGGGTTCTGGGCAGCATCCCATCCTGCCTGACCAGTGAGTCGCTTTCATGCCTTGGAACCTCCCAGGCTGGACTGCATTTGGATCCAGGGTTGGGACTGGAGACTGACCCTGCATGCCCTGCAATGGACTCAGGCACCCTGTGACTCTCTCTGTGGCACACCCATCCCAGAGAAATTGGGCACTATACACTCCTTTCCAGTTCCCCCGAATGCCCACACAAGACAGTGTAAGAACACCTGTCCTCAGGCAAAGTCTGCCTGCTGGCAGGGAATTCAACGACAGGAAAGTGTCTGAGCAGGCAGGTTTCTGTGTCCCTGCCCCACCTACTAGTGTCTAGCTGAGTTGCCAGAGCTCTTGGGACGGAAGCCAAAAGCAAACTTCAGGGCACAGATCTGCTCAGGTGTGTAGGTGCAAGGTCTCTGACCCTTGAGGGTCAGGGTAAGGCTGGGCCACGCCTGTGCCACTCTCATACTCCAAGCACACTCCCTTCACCGCGTTCCCACACACAGACTCTGCCTCTAGGTCCAGCAGCCTCTGAGCCATGGGCAGTACTTGCTGCCGGGCAGCATGTGGACCCTGCCGAGTGTCCCAGTCAGCGGGGCCACTTGCCACCTGGTCTGTAGGAGAGGTTTCTGCCTTAGCAGATGTGTCCATGTGTGTGACATGTGCACGGTCACAGCTGCTGTGTGGAGAGGCACCCATGGTCTTCTGAGGCCACACCAGGGTCTCACCTTTCCCACCCTGCAGGCCCCAGGAGGCACAGCCTTCTCTCCTCATTCCCTCACTTATTCATTCTCTCCCTCCCCACCTGGCACTGCAACGTACAGCCAGACCCTTCACTCTGTCTGTGGACAGAGGGACCCTAAGACGCCCAGGCCAGGGCCTCAGTCAGGTGACACCTGGCCCAGGGTTCTCTGGACTCTCTCCCTCTCTAAGTGTTCCCTCTGCAGCTAACCAGTTCACCCTTTCCTCTGAACGCCATGGCCTCGGGAATGAAGCTGTACAGATCCCGCCATCTACTCTTGGCCATAACAGGCCAGTTTGAATCCAGGTCATGGGGACAAACTGAGTGTTCCTGTGCATGTCAAAAAAGCCCTAAGCTCCCTGGGTTTGGAAACACTTGTGCCAGCTCTTACCTGAGCTCCATCCTGCAGTGCTAGCCAACCTGCTGTGCAAAGTCAGCTCTCACTTTTGTGCTGCACTGTTTTGGTTCCTGAAGGAGTCAACCTGACTCCCCTATTCAGCTTGGAGAAGCCAGTACACTTCTTCCTAATCCTGCAGAGGAGTCAAGATTTGCACAGCAGACAGAGGCAATGAAGGAGCCAGGCACTGACTCCATCCCACAGCCCCTTGAGAGCACCAAACACAAAGCAAATCAGGAGTGTGTATGACTCCACTGCATCCAAAGGGAGGGGGCAGAGAGAGAGGAAGAAACAGGGGGTGGGGAGTCGGGAAAGCAGAGATGTTGAGAGTCAACGGGAGGCAATTTAGGAGCAGGGGAAGCAGACAGACAGGACTACCATCTACTGCATCACTTCCCAGAAGTGGACACCAGCTGGGGCTGGTCCCTGCCAAAGTCAGGAGCCAGGGTCTCTCATGTGGGCAGCTGGGCCAAGGTTTGAGTATCCATGTCCTGCCTTCCCAGGGTGCACCTGAGCGAGCTAACAGGGTGTGGGCCAGGACTCACAACCGGGCAGTCAGATCTGGAGTGTGAGTCCCAAGGAGCAGCCCATCCATGGAGGCAAATGCCATGCCTAGGAACCATCTCAAGTGTTTTTGTATTTTACAACTGATTTAGTTATTTTATTTGAAAGACAGAGATAACATGGAAGGGAGTTGTTGAGGTAAAGAGAGATCTTCCTTTCAGATCTTCCTTCCCCAAATGTCCACAAAGGCCGGATATGGGCTGCACTGGGAGCTGATTAACGTGGAACAGTTGGAACTAGTATAGGTGCCAGTGTGGAATGCTGGCACCACAGGCAGGGGCTTTACTGGACATGCCAAGGCACCAACCTATTGTGTTTATATACTGAACTGGAAGCAGATTGGGCTGTGGAGGGCACAGAATTGGCAGTGGGGATGGGTTTCCAGCAGACAGGGTCCTGGGCACACAGAAGCCCAGCACAGGGCCGAACACTGCCAAGAGTCCCACACGGGGCTCCGGTCCAGGCTGGTCCTGACATTACCTGGGTTAGGAGCCCTGGTGGGGCCCCCAGGGCCTTCAGCCAGATGGGGTGCAGGACTGTCTGGAGTCTGGGCCATCAGCACTTAGGACAGGAGCCTCTTCCACTGCAGTTCACAGGAGAGGAGGGAGAGGCCCAGGGTCTGGCCACAGGGCTGGTCACTGATGAGCTGCTGAGGCTGCTGCAGACTGCAGACATGGGGAGCAAGGGGCTGCCAAGGACATGCTGGGGGTGGGAGGCAGCTGGGACCAGGGTGCTGACCGGTCAGTGTGGCACTCAGAGGGGTTCCTGGTGCTGCCTTTGGTCCTTGTTTGGTTTGGGTGCAGTCAGCACTATTTCCTGGGAGGGTGCTAGCCCCAGGACACCCCTGCTGTGTCCTGTGAAAAAGTCTGGCACCTCCCAAAGGGGACAGGGCTCCTGTCTCCCCCTCTGTCCAGCCCTCTCCAAGGCAGCTGCAGAGAGGGCCCTGGGGAGGCAGGGATGAGTTCTCCACCTGACATCCACGTCCCAAGCAGGGGCCTGACACTCAGACACATGCAGGTGGCACCAGCTCTGGCTTCATTCAAAGTGTGTCTGGAAAGGGAGGGTTGGGAAGCCTGGCGTGCTCCCAAGCTCCGGTTCGGGAAACTTGGAAAGGAGGGGAGCCTGGAGTGCCAACAGACTCTGGTTCAGGAGTCTTGGAGAGCAAGGGAGCCTGCAGTGCTCACAGATTTCGGTTCAGGAGACTTAGAAAACAAGGGAGCCTGGAGCGTTTAAAGAATCCTGTTCTTGGGCCCGACGCGGTGGCGCAAGTGGTTAAAAGGTCCTCACCTTGCACGCCCGGGATCCCATATGGGCGCCGGTTCTATCTCGGGCAGCCCCGCTTCCCATCCAGCTCCCTGCCTGTGGCCTGGGAAAGCAGTCGAGGACGGCCCAAAGCTTTGGGACCCTGCACCCGCGTGGGAGACCCGGAAGAGGCTCCTGGCTTCGGATCGGCATAGTATCGGCCGTTGCGCTCACTTGGGGAGTGAATCATCGGACGGAAGATATTCCTCTCTGTCTCTCCTCTCTGTATATCCGCCTTTCCAATGAAAAAATAATAAAAATAAATCTTAAAAAAAAAAAAAAAAGAATCCTGTTCAGGAGACTTGGAGGTCAGCGCTTTGTGCACATTGGCATGGGACTTGTCCATGGAGTTGTATATGAGAGGGGGACATTGCTGGGTGGTGTCTGGCCATGGTCATCTGGAGGGAGTGGTGCAGGAGCTTGGTACAGAATGATCTAGCACCCTTGGGTACTGCCATAGTAACCTAATGCTGCACCTTCTGGAACCATATCATTTTCCTGCCTTAGAGGGGCAGGGCATTTCCTGTGGTCTTGTCCCCAGAAGCCACCCACCAAGCTGTACCTCACCTTGAGTTGATGGGATCCACATGCAGCTTGTGGGACAGCATGTTGCAGATGGACTCCTGGGTGTCCAACAGGCCTTGGCCATGACCTCAGTTACTCTCTTGTTGCTCCTGTCATAGTCGGGGAAGGAGGTCCTGGAGGTGAGGAAGGAACAGAACATTTTGTGGGGCGAGGAGTGGGTGAAGGGACCCAGGGCAGAGGTGGACAGTGGTGCCAGGAGGGACCAGAGTGGCCTTACCTCACCAGGGCTTCTGCAGTGTACCCCTCAGCATGGCTGCCAATCTTCTGCCACACAGCCTTGTCACCAGACAAAATCATAATGGCTCTAACTAAGTGGTAACCAGAACACTGGGTGGCCTGGCCAGTGGGGACTTTCACGCGCTGAGCTATTCCCACTGGGTGGGCCATGCCAGGTCTGCCCTACAAGACTGAATCGTGGAGGGTTGGGTGCTGCTGGGTGTCCGTGGCTGCCCTGGGTCTCTTGGACCTGACAGGCAGTGACCCAGCTCTGTTTGTGGCATCTTCTGCCTCCCGCTGCTCTGTTTATCCAGGCCTTACCCACAGCGGCTTTGAGTCTGGACAATGGACAGATTATAGTAATGAAAACTGCTGCTCCAGCAAACTGTAGGGCCAGAAGCTCTTGTCTGTCGTTGTGGGTGCTATGCCAGTACAGTGGGGTAGAGAAAGCATTGTGGTATGTAGTTTAAGCCTCTCCTTTAGGCCCCAGGATTGCATGTCAGAGTGTGGGTTGGAGTCCTGCTACCCGGCTGCTTGTCTAGTTTTTGGGACTATTCCTGGGAAAACAGTGAATGACGGCCGAGTATGTGAGCCACACCACAACCAGGGAGCCTTGGATGGAGTGCCAGACTCCTGGTGAGGCCTGGCCAGCCTCAGACACTGTGGCCATCTGGAGAGTGAAGCAGCAAATGGAAGATCTCTCTCTCTCCCTGTCTGTCTTCTTGCATTCATGACTCCCTTTCAGATGGGTGGGGCCCAAATACTTGTGTCACCTTTCCCTGCTTTCCAAGACATTAGCAGGGAACTACAGGGACAGTGTGGCTGCTGGGATGTCAACTTGTCTCCACGATGAGGCCAGCACTGCAGTGACAAAGTCACAGGCCAGTATGCCGTCATAGTGACCTATTGTTTGGCTCACTTTTTAATGTACGTGTTCATTCTCTAATTTTTTAAACAATTAAATTTTTTTATTG